TTTTAAACGGGGGACATACACACCTGTACCCGCGTCGCCTGCTTATCGTTCCACTTGCATTACATGCGAAGGTATTTTTTTTTTTTTTTTTTTAGCTAGCTGAGTCTTTCGCCAACAGCAACAACATTCTGTTCATCGAGACGTCTGCTAAAACGGGACAGAACGTGAACGAGTTGTTTTTAAGGATAGGTAATTCGGAAAAAACGCAATTCTGCATTTGAGCCCGTGCGTACGAATGTAAAAAAAAATACAGTTTGTGATTTTTTCTTTGTCCTTTTCGCCCTTTCGACAAATGCGTGGCCCTTACACCTCCCTCCCCGCAGCTAAGAAGTTGCCCCTCCAGAAGGAGCAGGACAAGTTCTCTGGAATTCAGGTTTCTCCGGAGGAGAGGAACATATGTGCACTGTTGCACGCGTGTGTGTGATCGTGTGTGCTCGTATATGAATGTGCAAACTTGCCAATTCTGTCTCTCCGCGATGCGAACGTGTGTGCAGTTTGATCATCCATTTGTGCCCCTTCCCGTTCACAGATTAACAACACCGAAGAAACAAAGAAAAAATGCTGCTAACGGGAGCTCCAATGAGGTTTCCCGCCTGTTTGTTCCCTTTACAGTTCCTTCCCCTGGTCCCGCGCCAGAAAAAAAACAAAAAAACAAAAAGAATATACACACAGGATGATCTCATTCAAACATCAAAGTGGTCGCCATTTGACATTTTTTTTTTCTCCCGCCCTCCCATATGCACCTTCTGTAGGCGTCCCTTGGTGCAGTTCTGCGCCTATGCGTGATGCATTAGGGTAGAGTTATAGCCATATGCACGCATGTGTACTTGCCGTGTTGAACACACAGAAGGGATGACGGGGGAAGAAACTTATATTTTTGAAGGCGCCTTTTTTGTTTTCAACTCTTACAATAATTAATTTGGATTCGCCCCCACAATGCCATTAAGCGATTCCGCGTTAATTTATGCTACACCAACATTCCCCCCCCCGACACCCTCTCCTGTAATGCAGGAACTTTGCATGTCAATGTTTTGTTTTTTTTATTTCTTCATTTGTTTATCTTAGCCGTTTGTTCATCTGCGCTGGTACGCACATGTGTATGTGCGCTTGT